TATGATTCTGCTATTTTATGATTCTGTTGTGAAATCTTTTTCAAAATTTGCAATGATTTGGCTTTCACCAGAACTCCTACTACGTTGTGCTCCTTTAGCTTAGGTCTTCCACTTAGCTATTCCTCATGCAATCCAGAACAGGACTGTAGAATTACAGAATCATAGAATTACTAAGTTTGATAAAGACCTCCAAGATCATCGAGTCCAGCTGTCCACTTACTACTAAAATTTCCTCACTGAGCCATGTCCCTTAGTACAAAATCTACATGTTTTTTGAAGACCTCCAGGGTTGGTGACTCAGTCATCTCCTGAACAACCCATCCAGAGTCTAACCACCCTTTCAGAAGATAAACCTCTCTTAATATTCAATCTGAATATCCCCTTGATCAACTTGAGGCTATTCCCTCTAGTCCTATCACTTGTTACCTCGCCACAACCCCCTTTCTGGTAATTATACGTAGTGATATAGTCTCCCCTGAGCCTTCTCTTCTCCAGACTGAACAATCCCAGTTACTTCAGCTGCTCCTCATAAGGCCTGTTCTCCAGATCCTCATCAGCTTTGTTGCCTTCCTCTGGACATTCTCTAGGGCATCCATGTCTTTCTTGTTTGAAACTGAACACAGTACTCGAGATGCAACTCCACCAGTGCTGAGTACAGGTATGCAATCACTTCCCTGCTACTGCTGGAACGCTATTTCTGATACAAGCAAGGATGCCATTGGCTGGCTGGGCACACTGGTGAGTCACATTTAACCAAGCATCAACCAACACCCCTAGGCCTATTTCTTTCACACAGTCCTCCAGGTACCCTGTTTCTGGATGTGCTGGTAAAGATTCATTTCCTGCTTCAGAAGATGGCACATAAGAATCATTCAGAGAATTAGCAAGATCTGCATAATAAGACAGCTTTCAGGCCTTCACTGGAATGCCAATATCTGTCTTGCTTGTAAGCTCACGTGCTTTCTTTGGAAAAAGTGAGGAATTTCAGTGCTTTCATGCTGAAGAACAACTCTGGGATGTGAGAGATGAAAAAGCCATTTAATGCATCTTTTAGAATTGTTCATAAATGTACGCTGTGGGAGGAACAGTCCTTCTAATCTTCAAAGGAGAGCCGTTCTTAATCCAGGAACTGAAAAGGTTTCCGTCTCTATCTATATTCCTCTTTTTTCTTAAACTGAAAATTTTCTGCAATTGGTTCAATTGAACATGGTTGTTGGGTTTTTTTTGTTTGTTTGTTTGTTTTTGTTGTTTTTTTTGTTTGTTTGTTTTTAATTAAAAGATGCTTTTTCAACTTCATGATAGAGACAAGAACATTTCTCATTTCTACATTTCCTTTCCTACTACCAGAAATTCTCCTATTCTTTTTTCTTTCTGTTTCAAATTCTTAAAGTCAAGTATGTGTAGCCATGTTAGGAAAAATCATCTGTCACCATAGAAACCAGTGTTTCAAAAATTCAGACATTAAATGTCCGTTTCTGCTTCAGCTCTTGCTTATCATTTTATTCGAGCTATATAGCATGCTCTCTTGCACCTGAGAGAAGTAATGAAATATAATCATACAAGAGTATCTTCACCTCCATGGGCACTGAAAGGAGTGCCATAAATGATGTAGTATGTCGTGTCAGTAGTGAAAAATATTTATTTGCTGTTGACACTCAAGTAGGAGAGAAAAATCACTGGTGATTTTTTTTTTGCATTCAATTTTTTTTTTCTTTAGTCAGTAATTTTGTACAGAGATATATGTTTTTATATGTATATTCCTGATGAACAAGTGGAAATTCTGAATTACCTTTTCTGTCCTCCTGTCATATTCAGTGCTTTTATTTTGTGTGATATAGTATATATTCAAGTGCTGCTTTCCTTTGGATATGGTACTACTGCTAAAATACTGCTATTACTACTAAAGCAGGGATATTTTCAAAGTTAAATCCAATTACAAAGACCTGTCTTTATTGAGATTCAAAAATAACTAAAGATGGATGTTTGACAGGCTTTCATGACAGCGTATTGTAATGTTTGACTGTACTCACTGGAATGCTTTCTTTTCCTGTATATCTAACTAGAATTTACTTTCTGATTTACCTGCAACTTGTATATCTGATTTTGCTTGGTTGATCAGAATGGACAGTTAGCTTTTCTGTAAACTTGTGCTGTATTTCTTATTTATATTTTGCTGTCTTTAGCTTCTGTTCAGGGGGACTGGTTATACTGCCTAGACATATTTCAAGTACATTATTAAAAAAGTTTTCTTTGCAGCAAAAAGTTTAGAAGTTTTCCCTTATAAGGGCAGACTGAAAAGTCAGCTCAGTATCATCGCAACATCCCTTTTTTCTTCCCATGTCATCTGTGAATGTCGCCATGATTTTTGTCATTCTTGCATTTGGAGCATTTAAGGAAGAGTGAACTCATATTTTCTTCTTCAGAGATTTCCTGATGTTATCTGGGGGAGTGGGGAGGGTTCAGATTCTTTGGAACACCTCCCCTCACTCTTTTTTAATGCAGAGATATTTCAGATTCTGAATAAAATCCTGAAGTTCACAGGTATTTCTTTGTGAGTTGTCCTATAACAATGTATTTGAAAAATCTCACTTTGAAATTCTTCAGAACATTCACCATTTTTACTGATAATCTCTTCACTTTTGTTGCATTAAACCCCAATAACTTTTATGATATCTGATATCTATTATGCAAAATGGAAGGCATTTGCTGTGCAAGTGGCACAGCAAAGTCGTCTTTCAAAGTGTTAGAACTTATTTAAGCTCGTCTCTTATGAAGTTGCTATTTGAAATTACATCACTGGCAATGCAGAGATGTTCTAGCTATTCCAGAGAGAAGTGTTTAGTTCCACCACATTTCTTAATTAACATGAAGATTTTGTCTTCATTTCCTTCTTACAGTTTGAAAGAAAAAAATGAGAGCCTATGACAATGGCTACAGGGTAATGGATATTGAAAAGTATGTGCTATGAAATTAAAAGTCACCTGAAATACAAATAATTTTTTGAGGCTTATTTTAGTCCTTTCAAAGTACAACTGCATAATTTTTTTTTTTTTTTTTTTTTTTTTTAATTACTAGGCTGTTTGATCTGGAGTGGGAGATCATTTACACTGTTTATTTGTTTCTTTTTTAATGTACCTATAATTTCCCATTAATAAAAAAGAGGTTAAAGCTCTTGGGTAACACCTCCCCAGTTTGGTATGGTTTGGCTTGGTTTTGGACTGGAGTTTACTGAAGTAAAAAATTTTGAGTTTAATAAAAAAAGGTAAACTGTGTCCAGGTGATAAGGAATAACGATTTTATGCAATGTACTAGAACTGCGAAATCCTTATTAATATAAGAATAGACCAAAATGTCAGTATTCAGACAAAATAAATATTCTGCATACTTTAGGAAAAGCAAGAACATTATCTTTTTCCAAAGAAAGTAAAAAAATTGCTGATTAAATTCTTGAAGAATTTAATTTAATTTAACCTTATCTACAGTATACATGGTTGATTGGTGCACTAAAGATCCACATGTTGAAAAAATATTGGCATATATATATTATATAAGAATATATTATTTATGTGATAAGTCTCAGTTTCTGATGAATTTAACTCATCATCGTCTATTATATGTATGCTTTAAATGGTTGTCTATGCTCTCTCTTAGTCACTGAAGAGGCACAGTCAAGGCCTTTTAAGAGAGACAGCCCTCCTACACTTGACATATATAACCTTTGGATAGGACAGAACTCTCTTTGCAAGTCCTTAGCTATCTTTTGTCTCCATGTAGAAAGTGGGCAATCCTCTTCAAGATGAAGTCTTTGTGAAAGTACAGTAATTTGTGGTAAAACCAACTCATGTAAGGCCAATATCCTCATTCTTCCTTTTCAGAGTGGGTAACTTCGGGCAAGAGGATGCAGTCGCTTAGTATCCTACAAGGAGATAATGACAGAGAAGGAATAAGAACAAACCTTGCCAATTTGCATTTGCTCAGTTAGCTTCAACCAGAACAGTTTTCTGAAAGACTTAAATTTACTATGAACCTTCTCCTGAATGACAGGGCCTTGGGGCAAATGACATTTTTTTTTCCATCCACATTCACATCTTCAGCTGATCAACCTTTGTGCACCATCTAATGTTCCACTCTTTCTCTGTTTTGTCTAATAGTGAAAATGTCACCACTTTTCTTGTAAAACGATATCTTAATCCCAGCTGTCTTTTCTAACAGGCAAGCATGCAGTGTGTTCTTTTGTGAAAAATCTCTCTAAAGGCACTTTCTCATTATTCCCTTCCTATATTTGAGAGTGGTAAGATGTCTTCAGCACAGATCCAAAAAAGTAATGCATAGTTTGCATAGGTGCAGAAAAATAGCAGAAGGGATATTTCTACAACAAACCAGTTCATTCATATGGCAAAATAAGAAAGGAAAACACACTGAGTTATAATATACAACAAGCAATTGTTTTGTTCATAACCAGCTCCCCTGTGATTAGAGTGTACTCTAAACCTTCAGTTCAAAAGGCACTTTTGGACTCTTTGTAGGTGTTGGTTCTCTTTTGCTTTTTCTCGTAATAGTCTAATTCTGATCATGTATGATATTTAAACAGTAAAAATAATTCTCTCAGAGTTTCATTCAGGTGCCGATATTCCATAATAATGCAGTATATTATACATATATAAGATATGACTCAGGCTGTAACAGAAGTCCAACAGTAAAGAAATGAATTAATAGTATAGAATTCATAGTATAGAATTTATGGTGTGGACGTTTGAAGACGAAAAAAATAATGGAAGCTCCTAGTCTACTGTTTATAAAGTATGACAGAAAGCCCATTGATAGGTAATTGATAATAGGTTGGATATTATGAAATCTATTAGGAATAAACATGACATCAGTGGGTATTAAACTGATGTGTAGTACTGTAAATATATGGTCCAGGGACATTCCTATTGTGGAATGTGCTCAGCTGCTGCTGTGAAATACATAATATCAGCACGTATTGATTTACGTTACAGGTATCTCCATGAATCTATGTCTGCCACAAAGCTTGTGAATGCCTTCTCTGAAGCATGGAATTACCTGCAGTGGTGTCCTGGGAATTTCTAGGTACCTGGATCTGTTCCCTGTATTTATTTGCAATTTGATCATACGAAAGCCATTGCATTGTATCAGAAAGTTAAACATGCACAACACTACACAATAGAATGGTGTAATACAAAGTGGGAGGGAGATTCCATTCCATCCTGCATATCTCACGGATGTTGCAGCAGTAGCACGTTGCTGTGACTGTAATGAAGGCAGTATGTATAGGTCTTCATTTTTTTCACCCCTTCTATTTTCCCAGGTTAGGAAGAAGAACTAGACTTCACATATGATTCTAAATGGTTACTTGTCTTTGTTTTACATGAATCTGCACTGTGTGCCTCTTTTGTGCTGCTACATATAAATTAAAAATTATTTTATTCCCAGGAGGTATAATGTCAACCTTTCCCTTTGTTGAACAATGTATTTTGATTATTACCGACCTTGGGCAGCAGAACAAACTGCTAGGCTGCAGATGTTCTTTGGTAGCTAAAGATTAACAGAGAAGTCAAATGCTGGCTAGCGTGTATACTTCTTCTTTGAATAGAAAATGGGAAATCATCCAACATGTCACATTTTCCTCAGAGGAAACTAGTCATAGGAACAGGAAGGCTATGTCAATAAAAAAGGTACAACTAAGCATTTATTGTTTTTAACTTCTAGATACTGTACAAAAGCTAATACATACATGTGTTTGTTATATATATATAAGTGTACATATGTATTAACATATATATATATATATATATATATATATATATATATATATATATGTATGTATGTAACTTGAACAGTTGATGCTGCCTGGCAAAAACATGAAACAAACAAACAAACAAAAACCCAGCCCAAAGAAAAACAAGAGAGCTTGCTGTACAGCTGTCTAACTCAGAATTGATTTATATCTACTCAGGCTTAAATTTCAGTTGGGAAGACACAACAGTGTTTTGTATAATTTTCTAATGTGGACTTGTGTGTGGACATCACAGTAACCATGCAGGTGTAGAGAAACTCCACAGCTTGACTGGCTGCCAGGAACATTGCTTTGGGAAAGCTCTTATCTTGCAGTCTGGTTTGTGGAAGTTTCATCAGTTTCAATTCTTTGTTAGAACAGCTTGTAACATGGTTACCTACTAGGCAAAAAAAAAAGGACTAGGATTGTTTACAAATATTTTTACTTCAAACTGTCAACTCGGTTTTTGAACTCAACTGCCTTCTGATTTTGTTTTCAACTTCTGGAGTGAAAATATGCTGAGGTAGATGTGATGTCTTTTACACAATTACTTTGATTCCTTCAGACATGAGATTGCAACTTTATAAAAGACATCATTTTCACCCACAAACATCTCATACTTATACTTGTTTTCCTTCTTACCTGAAAAGTGATAGACTGATTTTCAAACACCTCTTTAAAAGTATCTCCTTTCTGCATGACATAGAACGATTTTCTCAAGCTTTATATTCCTGTTCCTGCAGCTTCCTGCAAAAAATTTGGAAATCTCTTCATCATAATTGTGTTTTGATTGTTATATATGCCATGCACTGACATGCATGGATGGAAGGATATAATCTTGGAGGTGCTAGCACATGAAGGAAACACAGAAACTGGCATATTAAGATGCTTTGTTTAGGGCAACGAAGACACAATTATCAAATGGGGAAATAGAGACCATTTAAGTTAAAAAATGCTATTGCAGTGTCTAATTATTGGAATGTGTAAAAAGAAAATCAAACCTCTTTCCCTAAGATGAGGCATTTTCTTCCAGTTTCTTCTTCACACCTCTGGAGGGTATGGGAGAATACATGGCTAGAAATAATATTTCTCTGTAGCTGGTAGTAAGATGCTTACAGGAAGGGGGAGGAAACATGTTAGAAATCTCTAGTAGAAGCAGCTCTAGAGAGTATACCTTTTCAAATCCTAACTCATTTTTATTCCTGTTAGGAAGGAGTGGGGAAAATAATAAGGAGTGGCAGCAATTTCAGCATAAGTTAGTATGGTTTGAAGAATGGTGGGTGGGGAAAGGACTGCTTAGCCAACTTGCATATCATCACTTCACATGATCACCATCACAGATATTGCACTGCTCCTGTTCCCTTGTTCTGAGTTCCCATTCATTCACCATCCCCTCTCCCTGTAGGTGTTACTATTCTTTCCACAATTGTATGGGAAAAAGGTACACAAGCTACTAAGTAAACTCCCATGTTTCTTGAGCTTCCTCTGAGTGCGTATTAGCTCATGGTATTTGTGCAGGGCTGTCACTCTGTTGTCAAAATGTAAAATGAGAGCATTTTAAAAATATATATTCTGCTCCTGCTGTGATCAGCCTGTATTCACGATTTAGATAGATGGCTGTGTCATTTCTGTGGCACCTATAACCTGTACCTTTCAAAATTCACTTGGATGAACACTGCTTCTTATAGTCTTTGGATAACGGGCATGTAATTCTCTAACATAAACAACTTTTGTTTCCCCTCAGCAATGCTAAAGAAAATGCAACACTGTTTCCTAGCTAAGCAGAAGAAAGGAAACAGTGCTTGCAAAACTGCATTTCAACTCTGCATACATTACCAGGTGTCCTTCAGCTTTCATGGGAGGAAGGAAAAACAGAGTCCCTTTGTTTTACAGCATCCTTATTTTAAGACTGCAAAAGACAACTATGTTGATGTATAACAGTTTACAAATGCACCCTGACCAATGCAGGTTCATATCGTGGCTGTTTTATATGGCCAGAAACATACTCATTTTCCCTTGAAATCACAGCACCCGGGACACTGTTTGAAGAATTGCTTTCTGACTCTAAATAGCAGAGGTACAGCAGGACCAATTTCCTTTTCTTAGCTCATATGAATTTTCTTCAAGAAAAAAATGATAGAAGACCCAAACATTATTTATTACCTCTGTTAATAAACAGTATGGTAAACTCACTGAGTTTGTTTCTCTTCCTTTGTCTATGACAGCAACAATCAGCTATTATTTAGCTATTATCCCCTCTCCAGTTCTTCTGTGGTCCTGTATAAGATCTCACTTTCATTTTGACTAGGAGTGATTTACCTTTCAATGCCTGAGAGCTGCTCTGTCTAATACTGTCTGCCGGGGAAGCCACGGAGCAGTTGTGTAATTTCAAGCCAATCCAGTAACATTCTTCTGGCTTCATTGTCTAGGATAACACTCCTCTCAAAGATCAGGTAAACAGCTAGTGGGCTGAGAACTCCTGATGAGCTGAGACACAATCACAGCAATGACATAGGATATATACATATATATATATATATTGTTGTTGTTGTTTTGTTTTCTTAAAGGGGCAATGCACAGATTGGCAATTAATACTCTTTGATTTATTTAAATCCAATGGGAGCTTTGCAAATTGTGTTATTAAGCCCAAGATTCTACCCAAATCATCAAGAGACAAAATCAGACACTGATTAAAAATTATTAATTCAGAGCAGTCCTAGATGTTGAAAAGCTGTGAGTTATTTTACATTCTGGACTAAATCTATCTATTAATTACTCAGACTTTCTATGGCATATGTAAATAAGCAAGAGTAAATGCAAAATGTCTATTACTGATTCTATTGCTACAATTTTATGTATACCTTCTTCAAAAGAGGAATATGTTTTTCTGTGTCTTTAATGTGAAGAAATAACTTCCTCGTATTGTCTTCAATGCATCTGAAATACTAGTTTCAAACATGTAAATTATAACTGCATTACATGGAAATGACCTTTCATAATCACTGTTTTAAATATTTAGTTAGGTCTTTTGCATGATAGAGAAAAGAAAGCACTGCAAATGCATTCCTTCCCAACTTTTATTCACAATATTTTGACAATTCATTCCTAAAAATATCAGCTATTAAAAAAAATCACCAAAATTAACAATAGGATGTAAAGATGTGGTAAAGCATTCATACTAATATACTGAAACACTGCAATGTTGTAATGACAAATATTCCCTTCAAGTACAGGAGAAAAGTACCTAATGTAAATGGTGTGTCAAGAACAAAACTGATTTTCAGCTGCTGTGGATATTTTGTTTTCAATTGAATCCATCACAGAACGGTTCTACCAAATATCTTCCTGAGAATTCAAATTTGAGGCTCTGACTTGCTCTGCTTAGAATCAAGAACCCAATTGCAAATCCAAAAGGCATAAAAATTAATAGAATATTGCCTAGACAGAGTTTCGTGAGGAAGAATAGATTCTGTGCAATTTAGAGACTATAATTTGAATGTCAGATCTTCATGTGTTTCAGAACAGGCATCTGATCTTGGCAATGGAAGATGAGTAAGGAAAAGGCAATTCCAACATGCTGAGACTGCTACAAATGTCCAAGTGACCTAAATTTTATAGGTCAGTAATGGTGATGCGTATTAATTAAAATGTCCTATCCACCCATTACATGCCAGCCACTGTTTCTGTGAGAGCTGCTCCAAAAGTAGTGCCTTGGTGATATGGCAGTAGAGAATGAATCTTCCCAGAGCATTCCATTCCGTGTTTTTGCCATGTGGCAGATGGCAGCAGAAAGGCACTCCGACAGTGTGGCATCTGACATGGAAACGCATATGAAACTGTCACTGTCTGACACTGAATTCCTCTATGGCCCCAGTTGATATTAACTGACACTTGCTGATGTTTATGGAGTCCAAGCAGTGGATGTGATCACAATGGCTGGTGTGTTTCAGCAGCAAAGACAGTGACAGTGGATCATCTCTGCTGGTGCAGATTTTTGTGAACATGGCATAAAGTCTCCAGTTCATCACTGGCAAAAATGCACGACTAATGTTGGTGACTGTGTTGAAAAAGAGTGTTTGTAGCAGAGAATTTAGTCTATCAAATAGTGTTATTTGCTTTTTGTATCTGTTGTACTGTCCATGAAAATAAATAGGATGCATTACTTTCGGATGACCTATGAATTAATCATTTAGTATAGGTTTAGTATGGTTTGGCAGTTTTGCTCTCTCAGGGCCTGGAAAATGACTGAGCAAGGTCTATGTAGCAGGGCAGACATTGGGGCACTGACGGTACTTGTTCATATGCGTAACCTTTCTTTTCAGATACAATAACAACCTGCTTGGGTTGTGCACTTATTTCCAAAACGTGGTGAATTCCAGATCTAAGCTCCCCTGTATGTCCACTTTCTTAAACAAAACAACAAAGACTTCTGTACATAGCACAGCTGTGCTATGCACTGATGTTTATGGAACTTTCTTGTTTTGTAGACTTTATAATGTTGACGGAAATTTGTTAGTTGTTTTTGGAATCTACTAAATTCATGACAGGTGGGACTTGAAGCATTTCATGGCAAGCTGATAAAATTCATAGTGTGGCCATTAGCTTGTTCCTCTAGCTTCTTCCTACACAGCAGCTGCTGCTCTTGCAATATGCAAGACTGGCTCAAGTAGTCTGCAGTAAAGGCTGTGACTGGCAGCTTGTGTTACCTTGCTACCTAATATTTGCCTCTGTACCAGCTGATACTTGCCTAAGTCAATCTGTGGCAATGCCACTGATCTGTGGAAATTAGATATTTACAGAGTGGTTATTTCCACAGACTTACCCTGTGGAATGCACATATGCTGAGTCTGCCTGGACACATCCATATCTGAATACACTCAGAACTGAGTATTTCCAGGCAGAATAAAAGCCGAAAATCCTCAGAAAATTCATTTCTTTTGCATCCTTATAAATCACACAGATATAATAATGACCAGTCTTCATTAATTGCTTTGAAGTGCTTGGATGCTGGGGATGACTTCATGAAAAATATTTATAATGGGAGATAATTCCTTTATGGTAGTTACTAGAAAGGATAAGGAGGTTCTTCCTTCATAGACCTTACAATCTCAATATTGTACATAACAAGATAACTGGCAAATAATTAAAAAATCGGGTTGACAAGTGCTATCAAAATGTGAAATATGAATATTGCTTTGGGATCATGTAATTTACAACCTTAAAAGTGAAGTATATTGGTTTTCTATGACTCAAAAATTGATTTTGTTTCTAATGGCTCATTTCTCTCATAATAATAATAAAGGACACAAGTATTGTATTCTGTTTACAAGTTTATGTTGTTTATTCTTTTTCTATGTATCAAGAGTGAGAATATTTTTATGGTGAGAGTAACACAAGTGTGTCTAGACAGAACAAAATTTTCTGTAAATATTCTCATTCCTCTTAGTTTACCCTTTTAGTATTGCCTAGATAAACATGACATATAAGTGATTGATTTGTAAAATCCTAGATGTTTACTGTATGTTTGTATCACAAAGAATGTTCACCTGCATGTAGCTATTTATTCAAAAGTTCTTTTACAGTTAACTCTTTGAAATTCAAGGAATCTATATATAAATTAGCAATTAATAGATGCATCTTTTCATCCTTTAAGTTTCTCTGTATTTTTTAATTCATGTGTCTTGTGTTAGGGAAAAAGACCAAAAGATATGAGAAATAGTGGCTTTATGTTAGCAAGGAAAACAAAGTGAAAGTGAAAAAAAAGTGAAAGTGATACATTTTTTAATTTGAGAAAAGATGTGTTTGACTATATTTTGGAAAAGCCATCACTTTCAGTACTTAATTGCAGTCACCAATAGAAAGACTCCAGAAGTGACAATTCTAGTAAATCTTAGGAATGTTTATTTGACAGAAGTAAGGGTATATAAACTTCTACTTCGTAAATTTTTTTTAAGTTCTGAAAATTGTTTTAACTGCTGTTAATTTGGTGACTAGGCTATCTTCTTATTTTATCTTTTACCTATAATACTGCACTTATTTCAGTAATGTCTTTCATTATATTAAAAAAAAAAAAAAATACTTCCTGATTAAACAAAAAAATATCCTTTCCAAGCTATTAAGAAGTTTTATCTATAGCTGTTCCAGAGCTTGAGGCACTTTTGCAAAAGAGAATGGAAAACAACCAAGTTTGGAAAAAAAAAACACTTTTTTTGTGAAAAACACTGATGCTTTGCCCTTTTCATCATGATTCCATCAGCAGGATTCAAAAGCCTACCATGTATGAATCAGTTCCTGGCAGAAGTTAGAATAGCCTCAAGGCAGTATTTATTTGAATTGGCTAAAATTGCTCTAGACTAAGTTATCAGATTGCTCACCTGCCTTTAGTCAGGAAGAGGTGTTCGACCAAGGCACCTCTTTCTGTCCTAAAATGCCACTGTCTTACTTGATTTATGCTTCTACATGGTGAATTGTGTATGAAGTGGCATGTGCACACAGTTGAACACATAGATTGATAAAATAGATCATGCCTGATTCTTTACATAAAATGAGTGAGATAGTTCGACGGACATGACTGTATTGATGAGACGTTTTGCTCTTAGAGATAAGAAAATTGTATTGAAAGTGTACTGAACTTGACCTATTTGACGGAAAATAGGAAATAGAAACTGATTTTCCAAAATAAATTACAGATATTTCTCCTGTATATTCTAAAAATAATCTGTTGTTTCAGGAGTGCTGTACTTTATAAGCCTAGGTTTATTAATGTTATTTGTGAAATAAATCCATGAAGGATGACGTACTACTATTAACAGTAACATTTCAATAGGGGGCATTTTGATCCAGTCCCTGTAAGTGAGTGGACAATTTAAATAATCTATGAAATACTCATTTTCTTTTGAGTAAGTTTGTGTAGATATATTTAATTGCTTTCAAGCAGAGAGATATAACTCATTTTAAAATTACTTTTAATCATTCCAACTGATATTATTAGTAGTATTTAATCTGAATAATTATTAGTAGTTTCAATATCTCCCCAAATGCATGACTCATTGGACTCTTATCTCACAGGAAAACAAATGAAATCTGAAAGTATCATCCAGTTTTTCTTATGGAGAATTGCTATACATCGAGTACAATAAAATGGTGACTCTGAGAGCACTGCTACACCACATAGCCTTTGGCAAACTCTTCTCATCATGCCAAGGATAGAGACTCATCAAAGTCATTCTTCTCATACTGTTTTTTGAGCTTGCTGCTGATGGGAAATTGTGTATAGATTGGACTGGAGGTTATTTGAGCCTTAAGCTGTTTCTTATGTGGAGAAAAACAAGAGTTTGTCAGCAGCGTAACATTTAGTTTCCAATATGAAAGGAATAGCAGCTAAGGGACTTTAATCTCAGCCCTGCCATGTTTAATTTTATTCATGCAGGAAACAGTGCAGACTCATGAAACGAAATGCTCTATAGTGATGCAGCTGCTTTCTGCCAGTGGGATATCTGAATATCACAGAACTGTCACAGGGACGCGTGCCACTGATCTTCCTTTGCTAAAGAGGAAAATGACTGTAATAGAAACTGGCAGATCTGTGTCAGGACTGCACTTCAGCCTCCTACAACCATACAAGGCTAGTGTATAAATATGAAGTGCTCACCACAACACACAGGTAGTGGTTGTGCATAGGGCAGAAAACAGCACTAAATGAGTTTGTTCTTTGCACTGCAGTACTTAAGCCAGATCTTCAGATCTCCAGGATCTGCAGTTGGACATGCTTGGAACAAGCAAAAGAATGACTTCTTTTATTTTTGTCTGGGGAGGCTTTTCTAGATCCTTACTTTCTTTGTGAATATATCAAAGAAGATTTTGTCTTATCCGAATTCACGAAGACAGTTTTAGCAGTCAGTAAGACAAAACTAGTCTGATTCCTATCAGGAAAAGTAAAAAATTTTCAACTTGCTACTTTTCTATCTTCGTGTTATGATCTTCTAGTTGTTCTCGGATCATGTCAGAACATGTCAGGGCAGTTATTTTGGCAGGGCTGTGTTTCAAAAGCTAGGAGCCAGAACCACCAAGCTATTACTATACTATTGCCATGCTATTACATGTCTTTGTTGAGCTTTAATGAGAGTACAGGTGATATTAAACATATTTCAAAGGATCTTATCTATGCAAGTTCTGCAGTCTAAGGACATTACAGTGTTGCATGCTAATGTGATTGACATTACTGAAGATTTTATGCATTGTAGGAGTAGTAATGTCAGAGAGAAATGATAGCCACATAACATAGGATGAAGCACTGGAACAGATCACCCAGGGTCATTGTGGAGTCGCCTTTTCTAAGGATATTTAAGACCCTTCAGGATGCCTACCTTTATCATCTTTAGAAGTCTCTTCCAGACTTTTTACTCTTTCAGTAAACAAATACGAAGTATCTTGAATTTAGAAAGGGCATATCATGGCCTGTGAATTAAGCCACATGAATGAAAAGAAATATACTGTCTTATGTAATTGCTTTAGAATTTATCCAAAGAGTATTCCTCATAGAATCAAAGAATCAAAGAATCATAGAATTGCTCAGATTAGAAAAGATCACAACTTAACCATACTACCCTAACAACCCTCCACTAAATCATATTCCTAAGAATCACATCCAAACTGTTTTTAAACACATCCAGTGGTGGTGGCTCAATCACCTCCATGGGGAGCTTATTCCAGTGCTTAATATCCCTTTTCCTCTCTACTCTCTTGTGAGGCCCCATCTGGAGTACTGCGTCCAGGTCTGGACCCCCAGTACAAGAAAGACAGAGAGCTGTTGGAGAGGGTCCAGAGGAGAGCCACAAAGATGATCAGAGGGCTGGAGCACCTCCCCTACGAAGACAGGCTGAGAGAGCTGGACTTGTTCAGCCTGGAGAAGAGAAGGCTGTGGGGTGACCTCACTGCGGCCTTTCAGTACCTAAACAGAGCCTATAAACAGGAGGGGAGTCAACTCTTTGAAAGGGTAGGTAACAGCAGGACAAGGGGAAATGGTTTTAAGTTGAGGGAGGGAAGATTGAGGTTGGATGTCAGGGGAAAGTTTTTTACAGAGAGAGTGGTGAGG